GAGTAAGTCAACAACTTTTCCTCATTTTTACTTTATATTACATTCTAATAGAAATGTTTCAACAAAATTCACATTTGGTTTAAAACTATAATTAAGTTTAATGTAAAATTCATTTAAATATTTTGTGTATTAATTTCATATCGAAAAATATTTTAAAACTTATGTTTCAAATGTTTTTGTAAGATAGACAACAAATAACAATTTATCACAAGTTATGGTTATCTTAACTTATTTTTCTATACAACCATAATATTTATCAATGAAAACGTAGAAATTGTAGAAAATTTGTGCAAAACTATTATTCACTTTTAATTAAATGTTATGTAATTTAATTAAAAAATTACTAAATTGCCGTAAAATCACGTTTTATAAAAGCAGTTAATATGCATTTTGCTTATGGAGTGTGTCTGAGAGAGAGAGAGAGAGAGAGAGAGAGAGAGAGCTGTTGAGAAAGGAAATAAATATTTTGACTGAGAATTTAAATTACGATAAAAGCGAAGGACTTTTCAACGATTGAGAAGTGATTTGAAAAAAAATTTTACCAAAAGAAGACAATTTTTACTCTAATGTAGCTGTAGTTGAGTTTAATTGGTTTCACTTATTATTGCTTACCTAATAAATGTGTTCTCAAGGATAAACAGACTTACTATTAAGCATTCGTCTCCTTAAGGCTATTAACTATAATAAGAAACTATTTTCACTACATTTCACTATTCACTCCCTTCCCTCAAATCTATATACAAAACAAGCTTCCGGTGAAGTGAGAGAGAGAGAGAGAGAGAGAGAGAGAGAGAGAGAGAGAGAGAGAGAGAGAGAGAGAGAGCGAGCGAGAGAGAGAGAGAGAGAGAGCGAGAGAGACCCTGAAGGCATTGAAAAGCTGGATAANAGAGAGAGAGAGAGAGAGAGAGAGAGAGAGAGAGAGACCCTGAAGGCATTGAAAAGCTGGATAAGAGCACACCTTTTCTTATTAACATGTGAATAAATATGAAAGAATATATTTGGGATTCATTTATCAACATTTAATAGATTCCTATTCGTAACACAAGTTGTATTATAGCTTAGAATAAATTACAAAGAAAACAGTTACTGTACTACACATGTCTTAAACACAACTTCAATCACTCAAAAACAATTACTTTCCATTCAAATACTATAATAAAAGAGTTATTATAAAATTGTGAATGAATTCTGACAATAATTATAGTAAAACAGAAACTATTAAAACAAAACAAAATACTTTAAACATTTCTTACTTGTGTTCCAAATATTAGTTTTCGGTAAAACATTGTTTGGCAAAGGGTTTGCTTTTATAGCCATAATATCAATGCACTTATTATTTAGTAAAAAAGGAAAGATATAGAGATATAGAGTACAGACTCCTACAGAAAATAAGATTGTTTTATTTGGTAATTAATTATAAATGCTTTAAATTACTGTATTTGGCAAAGTGTACATTTATTAGACAGTTCATAAATGAGAGAGAGAGAGAGAGAGAGAGAGAGAGAGAGAGACTAGTTTTGAGATGTGATATTTGACATAATAAGTCATAACAAATGATGTAACTTTCAATTGAAACTGCGCTACAATTTTAATTGACAATAAGATTATTAATTCATTTAACAGTAATAGATTTGCGTTAGTTATTAAAAGTTTATAGGATATAGAATTTTAAATTGGGACTAGATGATATTTATTTTCAACTGGTATTTATAATAGGAATTCAATATAAATTGTTATGTTAAATAACCATGTGCCAAATAAAGCACAGTATAATGAGAAAAATGCAGAATTGAGATAAAATTCTCGAGATTTGTCTAAACAAACAATTGTGAGGAATATAATGACTTGAAAGCTATATACACTGTAATGCATATATTATATTCACAATAGAGTGGATTCTGTAATAATATGTGTTGAATATATGATAATATGGGTAATCAATAGCAATCGAAACGTCATTAGGAGGTCATTGAAAGTCTGATTCGATGACAATTAGTTTGCATAAAAGTTTTCGCTTAATATTTAGAGTAAAACCAAATGTAAGTCCAGATTGTGATGATTATACATGTATACTGCTGTGTAGAGTGTGGGCATCAAAGCTCTCTGTAGATGATTGTAGTACTTTCATAGAGACCACACTTTGGTGTGTAATGCAGGGAAACTAGGGGTGCAGTGAAGGGGAAGCACTGATTTGGTGCCTCAATTCTAGGCCAAACTGTATTTGAGAATAGCTTTGATTTTGAACTAAATTGATATTCAGTAGAGTTTAGTCTAATCTTTTAAGACATTAAAAGTTTGAAATAAAAGACTCATAAAGTGATGGGCGAAGGAAATAAGTGAAGAGTAGTGTCGGGTGTTTGAAGGCATGTTCAGCGCCAAAGAGACGCCATTCACAACTGCCTGACGGACGGGGCAGTCGTCGGCACTTATAATACTGTATAACTCTATTCTGATTCAATTTAGTTTGCATTGGAGTCAAAGCTCAGGTAGAAAAGCAAATCACCTGTTGTAGGGGTGGAGGGGTGTGGAGAGGGGTGGAGGGGTCGACAACTCACATACACACCAAACTATACTCACTCTCTCGTAACCTCCTTTGCGTGAATGCAGAGAAGCCAACCATCAAGTCTTACACTCCTTGAATTTTTCTTGTCGATGAGGAGTGGCTGTTATACAGTGGATATATACATTGCCAACACTGCCTATGTTTCTTATAGTGTACTTTTGCCATATATTAACATATGGTGTACGATATATACAGTATATTGTATATATTTAGAATAGTTTATATATAGTATACATGTATCACACAGTATGTCATGAAAACATTTTTCAATACAGATATTCTCATACCTTTCTTAGATCTGATATCTAATATTAAACACACAAAAGAAATGACATTTAAATTGGTTTTTTAATCATATCGAAGATTATTCAATTGAAATCAATTTTAGCATTAGATTTCATGTACATTGACTTTCGATACAAAAAATAGATTTATAAAACTATATTCACTTTAAGAATATAATAAAAATAAAATTAATGCTCAAATAGTAAGAAATAGTAAATTCTGTTTTTAATACGAGTTGTAAATCACTGCAAACCAGTTGTTATTTGTAAGAATTTATAGCTAAACAATAAATAAACATCAAGGTTTTGTTATATAAAAACATAAAACACACTAAGAATCACAATATTTTTTACTATATTCTAACCGTTCAAATGCAGAATACGATTCATAAGATTACATGAATTGTAAGAAATGGTTAACTAAATTGGTAAATGTGATTTATTTATTGCACAGTATACAGTATTAGAAACGTAATCTAGCTAATATTATGATCTTAAAAGGTTAAAAACTCGCAAAAAGTATGAATATTTGGTATGTTATTAAATAATTTTGATTTAGTTTGGTTTGTTATATTTGCATTAATGTCTCCACAGAATTAACATTAAATTTGTTAATAAGAGACATAAATTGAGAATTTATTATCTATTTGTTGTGCATTTATATTAAATTTTATTCAAATATAAATAAAATTAACATATATTGTGAAAAGGGATCGTAAATCTAACATAAAGTCCGGTACACATGTGTGTGAGTGGTAGTGGCGAGTGGACAGGTGTACACTTGGTGTACATTTGGTGCTATTGTTAGCGATAGCCGCCAACTGTTGCTATTGTCGTTGCAAGTGATCACTGGGTAGAGGGCAAGAGAGGGCACAAGACAAATGGTATTGTGACACAAGAAAATACTATTTCGTTAGAGTGCTGTCAACTACTCATAACACCCGCTGATTCTTCGCAAACAAAACTCTGGCAAAAGACATGTTTCGCTATTCTCTTCAAATGTCACTCTAATTGCAACTTCTGACCCAACACTACATCACACAATCACTCACTCATTCATGTTTCTCATTACACAAAACATTGACTTCCAGTCAGTCCACACTTTCTACTTTTATTTTATTTAAATTTATGCGCCTTTTTATGTGAGACAACAAATAGTGATCTCTTTTCCAATTCAATGATTACTAAAATACTAATTATTGTCCGATTTATTGGCTAATATTGTCAATTACTAAAATTGCATGGTCTCTTCTTATAAGTAAAACTTATAATTTGTAATTTTCTTATGCTTTTAATTTTTAAGACATTTTGTTTTAAATGTTTAACATTTGACTTCGAAGTTATTTTAGAGAAAAATTGTTTGTTATTTAGAAAATATTTTAATAAAACCACTAATGCTTTTAAATTCAAAGATTACAATGTGTTGAATGCATTCATACGATCGCTATTCCTATGCCTAGAGTTGTGTCGGAGAAAGAAAACGTTAAATACATTTATGAAGAAAAATTGGAGTGAAGTTTGAAACTTCTTTAATCGCAGAAATAGTTTTAGGGATAAAATAGTTGCGTTGAGTTTTGAACCAAAAGTCTGGTTCATTCATGAATTGATAAATAAGGGGATTGTTTGTGAAGCGAATCCACGATAAGTGATAAGTAATTAATTTGATATTTAAGGAGAGGAACGTCTGTTGTGTCCGTCTGTTCGCACGAATGAATGGAATTTTGATTCATAAATGAATTACTTTTAATAATTTTATATAAAAAAGTTTTTTGTTGTTATCGTATTGAAAATGAAGCACTACTAGTGACTACTTCCTCGCATTGGAAACTATTTTGTGTTGAGAGGAGATCAACATTCCGGAGCTCTTATCCCCATATTATTTAAACTCTCCTCCCGTATGGCTCTTATGTTATTATAGCCCCATTTGGGGACGTTTTGTATTGAAATGTATTGAAATGTTTTGTGGGGGAAAAATTTAGTTCCGGTCAAAATGGTTAATAAAAACTCGTTGGCATTGAATGCATGGAATATTATATAAGATTATATGTCCATCAGAATGCATAGAATGCAAACACTGCATACCTGTGAGCCTTTTATGAGCCTCAGGTATGCGAGTCGATGACATCGTTTGGCACTTCGCCTCAACACTACATATGCTTTATGTATGAGATTTTGCAACTTTTAGTACTTATAATATCATACATTTTAAGCATCTATTCTTTTGCATTGCATTCCAAGCAATTTCTCACTTTTCTATTCAGTTCTTACATATATTCCTATTAATCTCTCAAATCAATTGCCATCATATAATTATATTGAATTGTTTTGTCATGTTTCAAATCATAAAATACAGAATTTGCTTTATTCTACACTATATATTGTAAAAGTTATTCAACTAATCTTTCGAGTATTTTGAGTAAATTATTTGCTTAAATATTATTTATAAAAATATAAAATAACAAAAATAGTTTTAATCTTTACAATACTTACTGTTATTAATGGGATAATTGTGTCATTTATTGCTAATAGAAAGCAATACTAATATTGTGATTAATGAATTGATAAGTAATTGAAATAAGTTTATTGTAATCAGTATAAGAATAACAATAATTACTATTAATATACTACATAATAGAAGCAAATACTGTAATGATAAAAATACATAAATGTTATTTATTCATAAGTATTAAAGTATTGGTATAATAAAAACGGCTAAATAGTTGCTGTAATGAGAATGAATGCCAAAGTAATGGTTGTCTCTAAATGCATGAGTGAATGAAAAATCGTTGTAAATATTTATGGTTTATTTTTTGTGGAATTTATTAGGAATTTTCTTTATTATGATTTTTCATTCATAATATGAGCCGAGAATTGTTGTGTTTGAGAGAGAGAGAGAGAGAGAGAGAGAGAGAGAATTTGAAGATTGTTTTGTTGTCGGGAATAGTTGAGAGTATACTCTCTGATGGTATGGATGTTATGCATTGCTATCACACTTAACAGCAATTTTGTTGGCGCCGCTTATATAATATTTTCCACACAAAAAAATGTTAACTAATTTCTGGTATCAAAAACTTGTAAAACATTTTTTTCGTGGCAGAAATGCACGAATTTTTTACCGTAAGAAATACTAAATGACGTACAAATGTATTAATATATGGACATAAAGTGGATGGCTTTGGATGGAGACGCTCTTCTTACTGGCACTGGTAGGGACTGGTGGGTCGGGCACTGGAACCGAGTATTATGTTTCAGTAATTGCCAAATGGCGCCAACTTTTATATGTTTCATCTCTGGCTATGATTTGGTCGTATAATTCACTTAATCGCTCACAAAGTCTTTGCAAACTTTACACAAAACCCTATTTGCCTTCAAAATCGATTGATTGCAATAAAGTCTTACATTTTTTAGCTTTACATTTTAATTGACTGTTTTTGCATTAATTTTAATGCGTTTTCTTAATAATTAGTTGTTTTTAAAATCAATTTTCATTAGAAATAACCCTTAATGACCAATGACCTCGATCATTTCACAATACTGTATAGCCCTCAGGCATCCCCTCCCTCAACATTTTTGGCCACAACTCACGACGAGATGCCCTTAAAAAGCATTCAAATTAACAGCAAATTTGTACCAACTTTTGGCGGCAAATTGAGATTCACCTCTAGTTTTACAATCTTTATGTGAAATATAATTACTGATCGAAGAATTAGTTGTCTTTCCTTTGGTTAATACTAACTATTGTTTATTAAATTTATTTCTCAATACAATGAAAACATCGAAAGCGTGCAAATAATTGATTGCCTTATTGTATATAAAATAATTGATTGAATTGAATGATTAGGTAAGATGTATGCGGTGTTGGGTCGACGTCATGGGCAGGTACTGGACGGCGACATACAGGAGGGTTCGGCGGTGTTCAACGTGACGGCTGTACTGCCAGTAATCGAAAGTTTTGATTTCGCGAATGAGATCCGAAAGCAAACGAGTGGAAAGGCTTGTCCTCAACTCGTGTTCAGTCATTGGGAGGTATGGTTTGGGCTATTATTCACTGCCCAACAACTAAGTCAAGTGTAGTTTTTGCGAATGTTTCTATTTAATGGGGGATATCTAAGTGCTGCACACCTATCAATCTCTGACCAACTATTTTTTCGCAAAGTTTCTAAGTTGTCGCACCTGTTCCGGTGGGAGTGGGAGTCACTACTCACTACTACTCGCACACAAGTCTTACCACGAATTAGTAGTACAACTATTTTTCTTATTTCGTAATTTACTATTTTAGGTGTGAGTTGTAATGATATATAATAACCATCAGAACCTCATTCAGTTATTCATGTTATGCTATGTTTATCCAAACACTCCAAACGACAACCAAATTCCTTTATAACTAGTCTTATAAGTTATAAGTCAAACCACACACAAAAAGCACTAACTTTTTTGAATTCAATATTAAAATAATACATGCCTTAAAACAATTGCCACATTTTTCCAACACAAAAAAAAATAAATTCCTATTTATGGTTTACCCACAAAATATTCTTTTAAATTACACAATAATAGCAATACATTCTCATTGTATTGGAATGCAATGCAATTAGCATTTAATTGGAAAAATTATAATAATTTAAGCAATATTTCTGTTAAATGAATGGTTAAATATTAGAAATAATGCTAATACAGTATATAGATATTAATAAAACTATTGGTTTACAATTAGGTAATAGATTTGGACCCGTATTGGGTGCCGACCACTGAAGAAGAATATTTACTTTACGGTGAGAAGAGTGATACTCACAACAGAGCCTTAAAGTATATGAATGCCGTCCGAAGACGTAAAGGACTTCACGTTCACGAGAAGATCGTCGAGTTTGCAGAAAAACAAAGAACTCTTACTAAAAATAAATAATGATGTTTATAACGTTTCATAATTATTGATTAATTAGTTATGTTTTTATTAATAAACGATTATTTTTAAAATGTCTATAATATTCTATTCAGAGAGAGAGAGAGAGAGAGAGAGAGAGAGAGAGAGAGACCACTTATAAAATATTAAATGTAAAATTATAATGAAACAATTCATAATTTCGTGGAATATCTGATACTGTATAATGATTATAGTGTAATATTAATTATTTAACCATAAAATAGAATATAACTGTAATATTAGATAATTTAATTTAAATGTTTATTAAATCAAACAATTGTTGGAAGAATTTAATTGAAACGCCGATAAAATTTATTTAATGATTGATTTATACAATATTTAAGGAGAATCACAGAAATAACTAAATCTCAATATATTAAGCATAACGTGACAAATGATTGAATAATAACGTCTTATATCGAAAATTCACTTAAAATGACTCCAAATTTCCGATTTAAAGCATTGTTTTATTGTTTAATTAAATATTGTTTCGTTTGATATGAAATAATGTCGATTAATATTTGGATAAAAGCAATGGTCTATTGAATAGCGTTTTATGTAAATTGTTAGCAAAAACTGAAAGCAAAACAAAACTTATCTCCAGAGCAACAGTGATTCCTGTAATGACAACACGAAACTATGGATCAAAGTTTAGGTACAACTAAATGGTCAAGAAATTTGAGGTAATCTTTAATCGATTGATTGGATATTTTGTTTAAATAAAAAATATAATAAACGAAACACTAATTGATTGAAACAGTGAAGACAGTCAAAGCGAGTCCAACCGCTTGCGTCTCATTGAACGCCAGCGACAGCTACTCGAAAGCAAACTTCAGCGCCAACACCAAGTCGTCGCCACCACATCCCGGCCCTCAACCGGCAGGTCAGTGGCCAACGCCATCATTTCACCATGATCAATTCTATTCATATTCTTATATTAAATATTTATTTGTATGTATGTGTGAAGAAGTGCAAAGTCGGCACTTTCTGGTCAACGATCGACCGAAAGATTGATAGACTTGGAAGATGTGGGCGCAGGCAATACAGGCGGTGCTCTCAACGCCGCCATCTCTAAGGCCGATGAATACGATGACTCGCAAAACGGCTCGTTTAAGGATCAGTTGTCATCGGCTGGCACTCAAAGACAAGTTCAGTCCCAACCACACGTCCAGTCGATTCATACGGTTTCCCCGCTTTCCTCACCGCGAATCTCATCAATCAATTCTAAACCACAGATTGGTTTAAAATCTGGTCTTCAGATAAACAGAGCGGATATAAATTCTGTGCAAAATTTGAATATTAATTTGGATAAAAGTAATGGCACTCAAGAATTGGTTCAACTCAACCCTTTGAACACAATATTAAGTACTGAAGATTTACTTTTGTTCGCAACGCAACCCATTTCTCCGCAAACCACTCTTCAGTGCACAATAATCAGAGATAAAAAAGGTATTTCAAGTGTCTGTTAATCTAGTAATCAATTAATAATATATACATCTATTAACTCAAACCAAAGGTCTTGACCGCTCTCTATACCCAACTTACTATATGCATCTCCAGGGTATGTATGCACCTAATTGGCACATCTCATCAAATTTTATACAATTTGTTTTTCAAATCTATTTTAAATAAATGTCTTGTATTTATTAATACTTAACTAGTTTATAATTCTCAATTTAATTGAATTAAATTTTATAGCAATAGTTCCGAACACAGAGTTAGATAAAAGTGATAAATCAAGTGAACAGTCGTCTCCTAAATCTACTCTTGAATTAGTGAACATAACAAATGAAAGTTCACTGAACCTCAACTCCAGTACTGATACGGTTAAAGGCAACGACTCCGGTAGTCGTGGATCTCACACCTCATCTAATATCGGGGGTTACAGACAAGTGTTTGTATTGTCCGGTCGGCGCCGCAAGAAGAGCAAGACATACATCATCGGTAACGACCCGTTCGACATCTCTCGCGGCAATTGTATCGCAAAACTTAAATCCAATGTTTTGGGGACACAATTCACGGCACTCAGGTCTGTACAATCAGACATACAATCATCTATAGTTGTCATCTATTTGTCTGTTATATATGTTTTGTTAAATTTGTAGGATTATGAACCAAAGCGGTCAAAGACAAGAAATTTCTACAATCATATATGTATTGTTATTTGAATTCCATTTGAAACTAATGATTGCAATATTACATAAATATATTATAATTTTGGTAATTTTATTCTTAGGAAACAAATGTACTCGGATTTAAAGGTCCCCGAAGAATGACTGCTCTTATTCCTAAATATGACCAGGTTTTTAGAAACTTTAATACATTTTTAAACATATTTACATTAAATTATACATTATTTGCTCGTTATATAATACAATTAAAGAAAATTTTATATGAATGTCATGAACAAAATGAATGTCACAACTTGTAAATTTATAAATCGTTTAAAGTATAAAGAAACCTAAAACTATTAAAATTTTTATATAATATAATAATTTTATATAATATTCTAATGGATAAGAACTGATTGACAGATCAATGCTCTGAAGAACTCATCTGTTTTTGAGGAATGGAAACGAAATAATAAAGCAATCCTTCAATTGAAGAATAAGACTCCCGTTTGGAACGACGGTATCATTGATTGATTTGTCATTGAATTGAATGCGAATATAGCTTAACATGTATTTGAATGCCAACAGAGACGCAGTCATATGTGCTTAACTTCAGGGGTCGGGTAACGCAGGCGAGTGTCAAGAATTTCCAATTAGTCACATGTCATGAAAGGGAAGATAT